CACACCTCAAATAAATTAGCCACTTGCAACCAAACTTTTTCGATGGGCTGAGTGGCCTCCACTAGTTTGTTATGTGTTTATGACAGTGCCCCAAGGTACAAGAAAGCTGTACGAGACAGTTTAGATTTAAGTCCATCTGCCCTGTAAAGTGTATTAATGTTGGTTTAGAAATTAAATTAGCAGGTTTAGAGCCTAGCTGCTTATCAGTCATGCACAAAGGAGATTCATATATACATCTGCACTGTGTATTGCTCTCCAGACAGCCTTGCTAGAAGCGAACAGCCGCCAGTTCAAATGTGCAAATGCAGAGAAGTCAGAGCGCTCCAAGGTACGTTCCTTATTATTTATTATTTTCAAGTCATTTGGAGTTGATGAGAATTGATGTTCACATTTAAAATGCACATGAGATGACTATTACCGTTTAAGCAGAAAGAAGATCTAGTTATAATTCATTGAATTCCTGTTGGTCTAATTTACATTTACAAGGCAATTAAATGACAGCTATGCCTTCATTGTTAGTTTTATGTTTGTCACGTTTCATTTCAAGTATTTTAGTAGGGCATATGACATACTATGAAGGTAGGTCTTTGACAGCAGTCAAACTAAGCAGTCAGCAGTCAACTAAACATTGTAATAAAATACAAGCAGTATCTCATGATTATTAGAAACCTAAAATAGTAAAATCTAAGTTATCAAGAACTATACAATGCCTTTACTAAAATTAAAACTAAATAGGAAAAAGACATTACTATGTTGGTACATCAACACATTATAAGCCTGAGTTCAGTGAATTTAACTACAGTACTTAAAAAGTCATTTTTGCAAACAATTCTTCTATTGTTAGGACTCAGGATGCATAATATTTTTGGTCACTGACAGCCATGCAGAAGAAAATCTCTCCATGCTAATTACAACGTGCAAGTACTCTAATCCTCGTTGGTCATGCTATTGTTTCATCTAATGATACTGTACTTGTCTTGCAGCAAGTGATCTCACAAATTGTAAAGGAAACGGAGGCAAAGCTAAAATTTGATGCACACTATTCCTCTGGAACACCAGCATTTTACAAGGTAAAAAGTTATCTTTTATTCCTTCCAGGACATATAAGGGGCACTGTACACCCCCCAAAATATTGGGAGAGCAAAGTCAAAAACTGACTAGAGAAAAATAAGCTTACAGTCAAGCAGTTTGTAATTATGATCATGAGATTAATACAAGGAGGTAATTAAGCCGTGCAAAGCTATACAGTATCTGAAACTGACTCACTTGACATAAGAAATGATGGCATCAGCAGAATTAATTCTGAACTTTACAAAAACATTTTGTTTGCTTATGTCGAAGAAAATGCTCCCCTACTTAACGGACAGTGCTTCACCATGCTGCAAGACCCAAAGTCCAAGACAGGAGAAAAAGGTGAAACTTCTTACACTGGCCAAGTCAATTTACAGATTTAAATCTAAATGAGCAGCTGTAGAACAAATTGAAGTCATTACACCCCAACCAGGCAAGAACTCAAAAGTGGCTGCAGCAAAGCATCTCAAGTGATTAGACAAAGAGTTTGGCTATACAACCAAATATTGGCTTTTATAAAGTCAATATTTTTATAAAATATTTGTAATATTTATAAAACCTTTTATAAAATTTACTTAAAGTGAAGGTGCTGCAATACTTCAATTCAAATCACTGGGCAGAATACAGCATATGTTTTTTTCTCATGTGATCAAATGTATGCAAGGAATTCCCCAATAAAATGTATATTACATTGTATTTATTTTATGTATTAATCACATGACCACAAATACAAATTGTAGTGCTGTCCTGGTACCTTTGGTGGACTTAATGGCACAGCTTTGCTCTCTGCTTCTCTATGCTCTGCTGTTACATGCGCAACTCCCTCTTCCCTTTCGAACTGCATTATTTTCCTGTTAGTCATGCTTACTCAGGCGCGGCACGGTTATAAAGAACAAGGCTTTGTGCTGCCCTCCCAGCCCCTCACACCGGGCAGAGCACTAAGAGAGAAAGCCTCACACGGCCATTGTCTGAGATCTATTCATGGCGAAGTCGAAGGAAAGTGTCAGGATGTTGTGAGTGTGATGCAATATACATTTTCATTTTTCACTCTGAAAGCTAGGTCTTAGTTCTGGGATGAACGGAATGTTCTGGCAATGTTTAACATTGAAGAGGACAAGAATGTGTTATTCTTTCTGTGTCAGGCTCAGATGAATTGGAGTTTGCTTTATACATTTGCTGTACGTGGGCTGGACTGCTGTTCCTTTCTCTTAGCCTTAGAAATCCCCACTTAGTGTTGACCTCCAGAGCAGAGGCAGAGCTGCTTTGCTTGAGATGCGTTACCCTGCAGAAGGATTTCTCTTTGTCCTTCCCACGTGTCTTCTCCTCAAGCCCATCACCCAGTGGGGCTGTCGTTGAGATCGGGCGAGATCAGAACAACACGCACTCTCAGCAAGGCAGAGGAAGGAAACGATCTTTCTCTTTAATAAGAAACATTTCGCCGGACCTGCGATCAGATCTAGATAATAAACAAAGTCAATAAGGTAAACCTCTTGGTTCAAAAATATGGTCCATTCAAACGGCAGTCCAATCACTGCCACTGCTGCTGCTGCTGCTGGTAATACGATTCACTGGTGTTCCTGAACTGCCCAGCTGTTCATGTGAATGAACTGTAAAGATTATGGAGTGTGTGATGGATCACCTCCAGTGGGAATCGGCACTACTCCCAGTAAAGAGACCCCTTTGTGCGCCAAGGCAGTTTCACTCTCAAATAATGGAAAACAATGCTTTTATTTCCTGAAATATTGTGGGCCCTGAACTCTTTGTTGGTGATGTTTGTTTTTGTTATATTGTTATATCAGATAATACACACTTCACAACAAATTCCCCCTAGGGGATAATAAAGCTTGAATTCATTTCTGGAACTGGACAAATACCTGGCAGCGCTGTGCTGGTCTCTGGTATGAAAGTAGTTCCTATTGTTCTATCCCGCTGTTGTCCTGTTGTTGCTGTTGTTATTATTTATTATGTTTGTAATGTACGGTCTACAATGTGAGGTGTCGTCTGCTGTACTGTGTCGATGTCCTGGGAGATCGGTGTGAATAAGAATTCCAATGTACATGTACATGTGGCAATAAACTGCTCTTCTACTCTACTGCTACAGGCAGGGAACAGTTTATACTCTTCCTGGATCAATGGCATGCAGCAGCGTGCGGAGCTGTGAGAAAGAGCAGGAATGCATCTCCCTCTCAGTATATGAAGAACAGTGTGGGGAGAGCTCACTCCTGTAGGTCTAGACCCTTCCCTCACATGTCCGCTGTTGGAGGTGCAGCGAGCAGCAGCCGAGAGTCGTAAGGCGAAACCGTGCGCAGGCGGGGAGCAGCGGGGTGTGTGCAGTAAACACGCAGACGTGGGAACAGGCAGGCAAACAAGGGGAGCGGGCACACCACGGTCCGGGGCCGTGGTCCAGTGAGGCCAGGGGCAGATCCGGGAAGGCACGATGGCACAGGACAGGGAGAACTCACAGCCGAGGTTAAGACAGGCAAGCCGAGTCCGTAGCCGAGAGCAGAGCGTCCAAGCCCAGCAGGGTCCAAGCCCAGTAACACAGAGGAGCCTACGAGGCAAGGGGGTCAAGGCAAGTCAGGTCAGGAATCCAACCGAAGTGAGAGTTAGGAATCATAGGAACCTGACACTGGAGAAACTCAGAGCTCAGATCACTGTCACAGAAGCCTTTAAATAGCCTGATTCAACTGAGGCGGGCCAGATAGCAATAGTGCACAGGTGATTCTAGCTTCCTGTCTGATTCCATGGCCACGCCAGCTGGTTCCCAAGGCACCAGTGGGAGTGAGCACGACGAGAAGGGCTTGCTCTTTCTGAAAAAATCCTTCAACCAAGAAATATTGAAATATTACATTACCTTTACACAGAAAATTACAAAAGCATGAATCTGTTTAACAAGCACCAGAGCAGTACTCCTCAGAAACTCTTCCCATACTTACAGCTCTGACGTACATCGTCCATTGGCTCTTTCTTCTGCCCCTTGTGTCCATTTCACACGACCAGCGATATTGCTGCAGACAAGCCACTCACGCCGTTAACTTGTTCGCCCACTCATTTAAGACCACCCCCTGGTTTCATTCTAACATTGTACACGTTTCAACCTACCCTTCTCTTCATCGCTCTGCCCTCTTCAGCCTCCAGTTTTCTCCATATGTCCCTTCTTGTCCTCTGTCCTCCTCATCCTGTGCCTTATTCTGCCTCCTTCACCTCCCTGGCCGCCCCGGGGTGGATGCAGAAACCTAGAAGTGTCAGACCTTCACCATCTCCATCCACCTTCCCCAGACGCAGCTGTTTAGACTCTGCCTTTAGCCTTTAGCTATGAGCCATCGCTCCATTGCAGTCATTTCAGTCACTGTGATTGCTTTTCTTCACTTGCTGCGGCCTGTACCTTTACAGCCTCATGCATCTCAGCGTGGCACTCATTTCTGTGCTTTGTGTTCTTGCTCTGGTAACTGCATTCTGTCGGATTATCGGATTAACCGATTCCCTTACATTACATAAGGGCACTCAGTCTGTTTGCACAATTCTGGGTTGTGAATCGATACAGGAATCATCTAAATAATAATAATAATAATAATAATGACAAATTGTAGCAATGAGCCATTAGGTGCCATAAATATACATTTACTAAATTATATTTTAGTATAATTCGTATATTTTAGTATAATTACTAATATCTGGGTAAATATGTGGGGCAAGGTCTCTTGAATGCTTCCCCAATAAAATCTGTACAAAACCCCTGTGCAGTATTCTGTAATCCAAAAGTCAACCCACTTCAAACTTCTGCAGCAACTACGTTTTCATTTAACTGAAAATAGTGAGACGCTGTGACAGCATATTATTAATTATTTATTATTAACTGATAATTATTAAATAATAACACGTTTACATGTAAACTTTTGTCCCAAAATAGTTTCTTTGTCATCCATGTCATGTATGGTTCTGACACTGAGAAGGTATATGTGAAAACATGCTGGTAATGTTAAAAAATCTGTCCAGACTGAGATTTCGCCAGCCGTTTCCATGCAGTACAGCAAGGATGTTTTATGGAACAGGCTGCGGAGCTGAGTTGAGGACAACGGTGTTATATCAGATACAGCTATTGTCATTAGGCACCAAATTCAGGCAATACACTATAAAAGTGTGAAGAAAAGTTCAGTTATAATCACCGTAGTCTTGCTCTCAGATTTTACAGAGATAGTAAAGATGTAAATGTTAATGCTGTCTGTTCTCTCCTCTCTGAAACACTAATTATCTAAATCCTCCATATACCCCATAAACACATTGAGACCAATTTTATAGACTTCAAGTGGAATACTTTGTCTGTATCAAGGGGACTTTAAAAGAGGCACTGATTGACTGTGTTGAGTACACGTACGGCACTGGTGCACTGGTTCCAGTTAAAGTTGTACATCTGCAAAGTTAAACAGTAAAGAAAATAATGAATTTCAAAGTTCATCAGGTCCACTCAATATGAATGGATGCTGGATAACTGCTGTCAGAGCTGCACTGGAGAACCTGATTGCCTTCAGTGCTGTTTTTCCATGCCCCTTGCAAAATAGGTGCCCTGGTTGCTTATTTCAGTAAGGCAGGGCCCTGTATCACCCGCTTGTCCCCATCTTCCCTGTGCTGGGACAGGACTACTGCCATCCTCCTGCCAGCTGCTGGGAATCTGGAGCTGCTCAAGGTGGTGTATCCCACTCCAGCAGCTCTCCTCCTGGGAACGTCCTCTCTTTCTTCTTCCTTCCCCTCCTCGTCCCCATGTCTTCCTGACTCTGGATTCTCTCTGGGATACGGGTGGTGCTCCCCTCACTGTTCTGCTTCAGGCTGCCCTGAGATGGTCTTTGGTCATTGTTGTGGTTCAGACGAGAATCTTAAAATCATGTGCCTGGACAGTCTCCACATTACAGAGCCTCTTGCAGCCTTAACTATGGGTCCCAAACCTAATGATCTTTGTATGGCTTGCTGTTTCGGAGGAGCTGAAATCCCAACTCTATTTCTTCTGTCTGTTTTTAAGATCAATATCCGTCTGGTGGCGATCCTTTAAATCCCTTCTCCCTGCTGGAAAGCCTGAGGTCAGCTGGGTGACATGCTCAGTGGCTTGTGTAGTTTCAGTTTCTGCGCACACAGCAAAAGACCACATTTCTAACGGCCACGTCGAGATCATTCATGTGCTTTGCTCTTTTTCTCATTAATGTCTACTTCATGAGGGCCTGCTCTGGGCCACCTGCATGGTGCTAAAAAAGATGTCTGTCAGGTTCCTTTTCTGTCTTCAAGTCTTTAATTCAAGCTGTAATTTGACAGCTGTCAGCCTTGGAGTCTTTTATACAGTATGAGTGCCTTTCTCCCTGTCTGTGGGCTGCTGTCTGACTCACTGACCCCTCTCCCCTTCCTGTACCCTTCACTGACGTGTTCTGATGACCAGTGACCCGGAGCCCGCTGTCATCATGACTGTCCCTCTCACCGAGCCTCCTGATCCTCAGCAAACGCTTCGTTTCTCATTTTATTATGCCTCCCTTTTATTATTCATCTATTCTCCTTTTATCTCCCATTTGGATTCATCACTGCACTCCCGGCACTGATCTAGGAGAACAGCATGATCACAAGAAAGTAAAAGGGATTTGAGCTCAACCAGGCTGGTGACATTTTCAGGGATCTAAGGAAAGCGTCACTGGCCTTTCTTTAAAGCTGGGTATTCCGAGCGTGTCAACCTGCCCTTGAATTCACAGTCACCCCCTCAACTGCCCACCTCTCGTGGGTCAGCAGTTCACTGAAAGGGGATAGAAGTGCAGAAGTGGGGCTTCTCTAAGGACAGCCGGTTCTTCTACCAGAGCTATGAACTGCTTTTCAGGATGTGTTTGATCTCTGTAAAAGGTAAGCATGTAAGAAGTGCCCATAAATCCTCTCGCCAGCCCCGCCATGCCTGTGACAGAGGTCTCGTTTGCCTTGTGAGATGGATGGGGCTCTCTACTCTGCCATCTTCGATTTAATTTCCACCTGCATGTGCTGTGGCATTGTTGAAGGTTTTGCACCGTTACCTTTGTTGAGGTGTTAAATGTGCTACAATACTTTAGCAAGTATGTAAGTCTTTAAGAGAAAGGAAAAAAATCACTTTGCATGAATTTAATGACTCACGCTCTCAGGGCTATTGAACACAGAGATGTACTTTACATTTAATTACTAAGCCTTGCTTCTCTGACGGTTGGGGTTCATCTGGGAGTAGGTGTGAGGTTCGGCATCATTTCCTCTGCTTGAATATTTTCCAGGGCTAGGGAAATCTTTGTATCTTCCTATTTCAGTGTATTAATGGGCCAGAAATCTGGAGCTTCTCTATAAACAGCGCTGGTGCCCAGCAGTTGTAGCAGTGTGCTTCACAACTCCCATGTATTGCCACAGGTCCTGTGCTGTAGGTCTGTTTTTCTTCTCAGACATGAAGATGTATAACTTAGGTGAGCTGTTGTGGTTTTTAGAGTGTGACGGAGTGCAGTTTAAATTGTCTCCTGGCTCACAGGTGTTAAACTCCAGTCCTCCAAGGCTGTTGTGCCATCTGTTTTTTATCCCACCTGAGCAATCTGTTTCCTGCTGTAATTGACCTAATCTGTTTCCTTGACATCTCTCCCTAGTCTTTTGCCCATGTCTCATGCTGTCAGGCTTCTGATGGACTACAGTCCCGACTGGCCTGAGAGCTGGGCTGTGAGGAGAGTGTCTGGTGGCCAGCAGTGAGTGATGCATGTGTCTGTTTTCTGTTGAGCAGTCGGACAGCGCGCCCATCAAACTGAACACCACAGCCATCCTCAGAGAAGGTGCCCTGTACAACCGCAGAGTGGAGGAGGAGCTGCGCAGGTAGGCCAGCCTGACGGATGAGTTGTGAGAGTCATTTCCAGAGTCACGACTCAGAGACCCCTTTATCCAAAACCACGATCAGAAAGAAAACAGGCTGCAGGGGGAATCAGTATCGAGGGTCTGATTCCAGTTTCCAACTGGTTTGAACGAGAGAATTAAACACCTGGAACTGGCCCCAGACTCTTGCTGGTATCACAGGTAGCAGTGGTGAATCTGCACAAGGTGTCGGTATAAACCAGTATTCGCAATATTTCATTCAGTTTTGCATAAACCTTTCCTGATGTGTGAGTAGATTCGTGTACTGTGATGAATCCACTGGAAACTGGCCCATGTGCCGTCAGTGTCACTTCACCATTCACACAAGCAAACGGAATAAAAAGCAAATAATTTCTGAAATATTTAGCCACAGATTATTAACAACAGCTGTGGAAAAACTTACCTTTAAAATGAACCAAATAATCCTCATCGATAATGAAAATATCACCTATATTCCTGAAGAACTAGTTAAGAAGATGTCCTGTGTGCTCTGAAACTATTAGGGTTCATTAGGTGCTGCTCTGAAATGGACACAGGATTTAAAATGTCAGATCATAATCCAGTCAAACATCGGGTGTTTACATGACGCTCATCAATTTGCTGGTAATGAAAAACAAATAAAGGAAACTACACCAAGACCAAGACTGCTCCTCGCTCAGAGAAATCGTCACTGTAAGGGTGACAGTGATGGCGTCTGTGACACCAGCCCGGGGACAGGAGCGGGTCTCCGGGTCGGGTTCGGGACAGGAGCGGGTCTCGGGGTCGGGTTCGGGACAGGAGCGGGTGGGGCTTCTCGGCCGCCGCTGACACGTGGTCTGGGTGCCTCTCCCCTCCGTGCGCGCAGGGTGGAGCGGCTGGCGGGAGGCGCGGGCGACCCCTCGCGGTTCCTGCAGTGGCAGCGCGCGATGCGGGAGCTGGACCTGCAGCGCCAGCTGGCGGACGTGGAGCGGCGGCGCCTGGAGGGCCAGCTCAGCCACGAGGAGGCCGTGCTGGCGCGGCACCGCCTCCTGCAGGAGAACCAGCGGAAGGCGCAGCTCAAGAAGGAGGAGGTACGCGGCCGCGCCGCGGGCCCGCGCCCTGCGTGCGCCCCTTCTCGTGCGCGGACTCCGCGGGAGGGCGCTGCCCCTGGTTCCTCGCGACGTGGCGACGACGCCACGGAGGAGAAAATATCCTCTTGTTAGTAAAATCGGACTTTTTTCAGTTTTTAAACTCACAAAATTTCACGTAAAAAAAACAATTTCATTAGGCTGCTTTATATTCAGATGTACTCATGTATTCTAGGTAAGCAGTGTTGACTACCCCATTTCGATATTCATTTACCTACAGTGTATTTTGTTCATAGAAAGATGAAGTATTTAATAGTACAGAGCTTTGAATAAACAGAGAGAGTGGTATTGCCAGGCTGATCTTATTTAGAGCTTGGCTCCTAACCAAGGAGAGGTGGCTCACTCCAGGGTGTCCCTTGCACACCCGCTGTATGTCACAGAATCGCGGTCGTGGAGGAAGGGCTTAGGGCTCAGGGGGACTTTTGGGACAAGGCCCAAGAGGCGGAGTTTAAGTGCGTCGCCAAGCTGACGCAGAACCGTATGCCCAAGGATATCAGAGAGTCACCTTCTCTAAACTCCTTCAAACCCAGACTCAAAACCTTCTTCTTTAGAAGAGCCTTTGCTTCACTGGTTCCATTCTTCACCCCTCCGCTTTTCTTAGTACCACCATCCACGGTCTCCTCTGTATATTGTCATTGTGTTTTATCTTGTGTGTTCTTTTTATTTATTGTTGTTGTCATTCTGTAAAGCGCTTTGAGAAGCCACCTTTAAAGGAGCTATATAAAATAACGTTTATTATTATAATTGTTCAAGGACTCACACCCAGAAAACCTGAGCAGTCCATTTGAATGCGGTCTACAAGTACCAGCTCTCTAAACCGTTTCGGATTTTGCTTCTCTGCTAAAAGTGAAAATTTCAGAAAAGGAGTAGGTAGCAAACATTTCTCACATGTAAATAGGAGGGATTTCTACAGAACTGATGAACTAGCGGGGATTTATAGACCCACGCTCTCTTACAAAGGAGCCAGATGAGCTACAATGAAAAGAAATTACACTGCTGATATAAAGTAGGGTTATTTTTTTCCCTCATTCAGGAAATTCAATAAGAAAAATCTGTACATGGAGGAATCTTTTTTAAAGTTTCTGATGTAGTCCTGCTCTTGTTACTTTAAAAGGCATCAGCTCGCCATTTTCAGAGCTCTTTGGACTGAAATGGAATCTCCTATCATTGTCTCAAAATTGCAGTAAATTGCAGGAATTACAATTCTCTGACAATAACTGCAATATTCTTCTACCCTCCCTAACCTCTTCTGTTGACTGAATGCTCTTCTTTCGGAACAAAAAATAAAATATAAAAGTACTTTTTTTATTCTTGATAACAACAAAGTTTGTTAAAAAAACCATCTGAAATATTTACATGTAAAAAGAGTGTTAACTTTGTTGAAACCCTGCACTACAGATTTTTAATGTATATCTTGAAACGTATTGGAAACTCCCATAAATAAGTAGACTCTGACTAGAGTGTGAGTGAAGACAGTGCTTGGCCTTTGCTCTTGTCACCCTTGTCCTCCTGGTCATGTGGGCAGCCATGTGGGACGATTGTGTGGCTGTACTCGTTCAGTCTTAAGACCACACAGCTTTCCCTGCAGCCTTTCCCACCTGCACAGGTGAGATACTGTCTTCAGCAGCCGCACCTCTGCCCAAAGAAAGGTTTCCAGTTTGTAATTTAAATAAGATTCTGTTTTGTGCTTTCAAAAGTCCCAAAGAGAGCGGCAGTAGAATCACCCACTGCAAAGTTGACAGAGGATCCACACGGTGTTCTCTCAAAACATATTATCTTACTTGTGATATACTGGAGCTCCGGTCACCAGTTGAGTCACATCTGTGTTGCAGGAAGCTGAGGATGAGATGGGTGTTCAGGTGGTACTGGCTTGTCCTTCAAGTCATTTTGACTGTTCTGTATTGCTGAAAGGGTCCAGGAACTCTTTCAGGGGAGAAGCCCACATTCTGGGCGTTCCTCTTTGAGTCTGCAGTGCCACGGCAGTGCCATAGTCCTTGCTGTAGGGAACGAGGGTGAATCCTTCAGAAAACAAGATGAAGACAAAATTATATTGAATCAACTCTCCAGATAGCAATGAGAATGCCTGTCTTTCTCAAGACAAGGGAAGGTGGACATGCGGGGTCAAAGACGGGGCTCACCCTGACTGGCGAGGTGCCCGTGCCCAGCTCTGGTGCCCCTGCTGGCTAGTGATCCTGGCTGCTCCAGGCCTCGCTTTGCTCCCTCAGACCGCCGAGATGATGCGCCGCTACGCCGAGCTGCGCCTGGAGGAGGAGAAGGGGATGAAGGAGCTGGTGGAGGTGGTGGCGGAGGGACACAAGAACAGCAAGGAGGCCAAGGCCAAGCTGAAGGAGTACAAACAGCGCATAGGTAACAGCACTCCCCTGCACCTGCAGAAGCATCAAACATACACGAACTAATGCAGAATGCTGGCTGATTCAAGAAAATTATGTAATCGTATGTACAGTGTTTATACAGTTTATAAAAAGCAATCATGTATTTTGAAGTGACCACAGGACTTCCGAACAGCAAAGAACAAATTTGGGTGGTGTCCTGGCCAAATTTCCCCCGGGCCTTTACCAATCCTAATAACCTCCTAATAACTCCCATCTATGAACTGGCTTCATCACCCTGTTCTTCTTCCCACTGCTAGCTGCTGTGTGGTGAGTGTACTGTGTGCGCAGTATGGGGCTGCCGTCACATCATCCAGGTGGGGCTGCACACTGGTGGTGGTGGAGGGGAATCCCCATGACCTGTACAGCGCTTTGAGTGGAGTGTCCAGAAGAGCGCTGTATACGTATAAGGATTATAAATTATTATTAATTTACTGGATGCCGCACACCTCTGCATGAATCCCTGTCAGTGTTCCAGAGGACAATGGCTTGACTTGCTTGGATGATTGATGGGCACAGGCCCAGCCCATTTCCATTAGTCCTTGTATTTCTCCCAGGCAGCTCTGCTGCAAACAGTTCTGGGCGGCTTGCTCTCTGCTTTGAGCTTGTTTCCAGGAAGCATCAGAAAAGGTGAAATGGGATTACTTAACATTAGCACCAATAAAGCCTTTAAAATCAGACATGCTCTGTGGAGGTTTTTAATGCAGCCTGTCAGTCTGTATCCCAGACACAGCGTGTCTAACTCGCAGCGTTAAACTATCAAAATACAGTAGCTCTTTCAAAGAAGGCAGCACATCAAAGATTCTCAGATTCTCACTTGGCAGCACTCCTGTGTCCTGTACATGAATGTGCATGTATTACAGATAAAGCCAAAAATGAATGGACATCTGTTTCTGACTGTCATTTCATTTCTGCGTTTTTTATAATCTTATGATGTTGGTGTGCAGTTTTTTTTCTGCCGGACCAGCAGTAGTCCCAACAAACATTATTTTACAATGTCAGGTAGAAGAGTATATTGCTTCACCCATGGTTGCTGTGGTGTGGTCCAGTGATGCAGGGATCCTTGTAATACTGCCAGTAACGTCAGAACTCCAGCATGCGGTTACAACTCACAACTACCAACCCACTCTGAAGCTCAGCTGGTGTGAGTCTGGCCAGTAGCTCAGAAAGCACAGGTTGCTGCTGGAAGAGATATTGGTGGGACCACTAGGGGGAGTTCACCCTGCAGTCTCCATGGCTCCAAATGTCTCAGTGTAGTAATAGGACTCTTTACTGTAGACAGGGGACCTGCCTTCTGATGAGACATAAAACTGAGTTCCTGACTCTCTGTGGTTATGAGATCAGACAGGAAGCTTGTCAACCTGTGGGCGATTTACGGCCACATCTGTCTCAGGTGGTGCAGGCTGCTTAAGATCTGCTCTCACATTGACATAGAGTTTGCTCTGATCCTCAGCTCCACTTCCTAGCTTTGTATTTCTTGCTTAGATTTTCCTTGGGCTCTTGACCCTGCTTCAGACTGTCTCGAGACAGCGCCCCGGAAGAAGGCTGTGATCCCGGACAGCGCTCTTCTCCTCTCCCGGGGTGCTGTCATGGAAGGGAGGGGGTGACGTGTTGCGGACGTGTGTCTCAGTGCAGGAGGTGTCGGAACAGAGCCGGGAGCTGCTGCGCCAGGCCCTGGAGGAGGCCCAGGCCGAGCTCAGCAGGAAGTTTGAGCTGATCCGCCAGATCCGCGCCCTGGAGTCCGTGCCAGTGATCCGGCACAGATTCGTGGACCTGACTGAGGTGAGCCAGAACTGCTCCGATCCATCAGGGCCGTCTCGGCAGACCCACGGCTTCTGTATTCGCAGGGGGGTTGGATCAATATTTGTTTTAAAGTTGAGTTGAGAAAAAAATTTTTTTTATTATTTTCAGTAGCAGTAATGACTTCTTTTCTGGATAACCTCACAACAGTTTTCTTAAACACAAAAGACAGTACTTGAGTAATTCAGAGCTTTAGGGTACAATTGATTTGTCTGTGACTAGTTTTTAAACTTTCATGAGTGCATTAAATCCAGAAATAATTAAATAGGTCTTAAGTGCTCCTATTGCATTAGAGGAAGACACTTATGAATGAATAGAGCCCTGACTGCCAAGAGAAAAAAAGGGTCTGATTCATAAATAACAAGTGGTAAAATATGTTGTCATTGAAACATTGATATCAGTATTACACAAGCAGTGCATTTCCAGTTACTCTAAAAGCCCAAGTAACTGGAAATGCACTGCTTGTTAATGAATTAACGAGGACACACACGCTGAACCGATCCACAGCAGACATCTCTTCCCGTATTCTCTAAATTATCCGCCTTCCCGCTGTTTTTCCTCAGGTTTTATTTGTTCTCAGAAGAGGGAATCTGAAATATTTCTGGAAAAAAATGGGCTAGTAGTGGTTTTCCTGCCAGCTGATGGGAATCTCCCCTAATCCCCACTGCTGGGTGAATTCTCGTCACGGAGTCAGGGACCAAGCCCAGACAGGAAGCTGTATGTGCCGTGCGCGTCTCTCATGTGTGTCTTTGCGCGGGGGGAGCAGGCGGGGGGCCACGCTCTCCTGGGGGAGATGTCAGTGGTGGAGCTGCGCGAGAGGCTGGCCCTGCTGAAGGAGGCCGCGCGCAGGGAGCAGGAGGAGCGCCGGGACCGGATCCTGGAGGAGAAGCAGGTCAGGGAGCAGCTCCTCCTGGAGCAGCTGGACCACATCGCCCTGCACAGAGCCGTGCTGGGGAGAGCCGCGGCCCTCAGGTGAGGTCCCAGGAGCAGCCCAGCGCTCCACGCAGCAGGCCTCAGCCCTTCCTTTTCCTCACTGGCAATGCATTCCACTCCTGCTTTATTCCTCTAGCCTCTCGGATCGGTTTGGTGCTGCTTTCCTGCATGCAGGGAGTCACCCTTGATCTTGCTGTTGCTTCGTAACACCACCCCTTGTGCAGCAGGAAGACCTTTAAAATAAATGTCCATTTTATACAGTTATTGTAACTACAACCAAAAAGCTCATTGCAGAGCGAAACAGAGAGCTTTTGAACACCACTCTTACAAATAAAGAGGCACAGAAAAAAAGTTTTGGTTCACTGTTAAAAACATGTAGAGGTTGTCCGTCCTGTTCTGTGGGAGTCTTGCAATGCTTTTAATGTGATATGAGGGAGCACATCTTTAGAAAGCGGAAAGACATTTATTAGAACTGTAGGAGTGTTGTACCTGTTCGCTATTGCTTGTTAAGCGTGGAAAGGATAAAACAACCAGTTTTCACTTTAGAAGACTGGTAGCTTGTCTTTTACATGGGGCTGATTATTTTTTTAACACAATTACTGAATTAAATCTTCCTGTCCAGAGAATATTTCTCCTGACCCTTGTGGATCTTTCATGGCCTGCGCTGCAGGTCCCTGAAAATAGCGTTTTTTGTGAGTGCGGTCCTCTTTCTTCTCTGATCGCTCGGTGGGACAGGCAGGAGGAAAAGAAGGCCAGAGCTCCAGCCCTGAGAGCCCGAGCTATACAGGACGAGCGCGTGTCTGAGCTGCAGCGGAAGCTGGAGGAGAAGCGCCAGCAGCGACAGAGGCAGAGTGAGAGCCTGAAGATGAAGGCGGAGAAGAGCACAGCGCGTTCTCTCAAGGCCTGGAGCGTGAAAAAGGTAACCCACACACCAGGCCCTGGTGCCCGCACTCTCCAGCCAAATTCTTAATCACCAACCAATTGATTTAGGTTTTCTATTTCAGACTGATTAGTACATTTGCTTGCAGCACTTAAAATTATATTTATTATATTAAAATTAAAGTTACTCAGTGTAACTCCCGTGGTGAGTGTGTCTAATATAGGAACACCCCCACTGTTGGCGTGTCTGATACTATGGCACTCCCACTGTGGGCATGTCCGATACAGTGACACTCCCACTGTGGGCGTGCCTGATATAGTGACCCTCCCACTGTGGGCGTGTCAGATACAGTGACACCCCCAATGTGGGCGTATCCGATACAGTGACACTCTAACTGTGGGCGTGTCTGATACAGTGTTGTTCTAATCGGGAAGTGTCTGATACTGTGGACCTCCTACACAGTATCAGGAGGCGTGTCTGATTCAGGGTCATTCATACTTGTCTGTTCATTCATATATGTCTGTTCCTCATCTTTTGATCAAAAAGTAAGAGCTTTTTAGGCAGAAGTAAAGAATCTGAGAAGAGGCTACATAGAGTTCAGTGTGCTGAAGTTGTTGGAAAGAGTACCCCCTTAACTTGGGTATTTTTTACAGTCAGGACTGACTGAAAATGTTAAATGAAAGTCTAAATAAGCAAGCAGATGGGTCATCAGTTAGCAGTGGAGATGTAAACCACAACCCCACACCCCCTCCCCTCAAAACAGCTTGAGTGCTCAACAAAAATTTAAATGGATCACAAATAGAATTGCTCAAATTTGATTCAAATGTTTGTTCTACCACAGTCTTTTGCTTAACACTCCTGCAAGTACTTTAAAGCCACTAGTTATCACTTACAGTCATTAATTTGTTGACTTTTACCTATAAATGTTAGCTCCCCTTAACTTTTCAATTTTCATTTAGAGGCTGTCAGTCTACAGTTTCAGAATTGGTGTTTAGTATGCAAGTCCAACCCATTCGTTTGTGTGCAGTTGTCTTACTGAACAGCTCCAGAAACATAGCAAGGTCACAGAAACTGACTACTCAGACTCTAGAAACACAAAACACAAACACACCAGGCATTGGACATTGAACATGAAGGAGAACTCTTTAATGTTAATATACATGATGATGGAAACTTTTTTAAAAAAATAGAAAAAGCAGTGATTAACTGTCTCAGCTCTTGCCCAAAGTCTAAGAACCCAATGTATCTTATGAGCACTATACTTATATTTCATTCCTGCTGACTTTGTATGTGCATCACTGACTTTACTACAGCAGGGTCTCAACATCCAAGAATTTAGCATTTGCTTATTTGCGATTCATGGCGAGCAGAGCAGGATAAAACCAAGTTGAAGGTTGTTTAAAGCAACTTTCAAATCCTCCGTGCAACAGACCAGATTGTGAAATGAGTCTAGCCATTGATCCTCTCCCTGCCCCCTGCCCCTTGCCCCCAGCCCAAGTATCCACCGCCCAGCATCCACATCTCAGCATGGTCTTGCTGTTGGATTGTAACTAAAACTCCTGATTCTGTGTCTGCAGTGTGGAGAATGACAGGCTGGAGACTTAACTGGCTCACTCACACCCCTATTCCTGTTTCATTACAGAGAGTTAAAGTGCAGGCATCCACTTGATGCAGAGGAGGGATTCATGTAGTTAACGTTATCTAAGTACTAGAATTTTGTGATTACTGTCTTTTGTTTTAGTTGTTAAAAGTTATTTTAATTATTTTAAAGTCAATGCATTAGTATTAAAATTATCATGTATAAGAGATGGTTACTTATGTCTCTAGATATACATACTATATATTGCAGTACATGCTTGTAGTGCATCAGAATATTTTTTTTGGCGGTGCGGTGACTCTGTGGCTAAGGATCTGCGCCTGTGGCTGGAAGGTTGCTGGTTCAAATCCCACAGCAGGCAGAGGAATCCTACTCCGTTGGGCCCCTGAGCAGGGCCCTTCACCCCAACTGCTCCAGGGGCGCTGTATAAATGGCTGACCCTGCGCTCTGACCCCAAGCTTTTCTCTCTGTCTGTGTGTTTGATGGAGAGCAAGTTGGGGTATGTGAAAAGACAAATTCCTAATACAGGAAATTGTATATGGCTAATAAAGTGTTATTATCTTATCTTATATTGGGTAGATTGGTTGTGAATTTGGTTATTGGCAACGGTTCTTTGAACTGAACCCTTGCGAATGTCAAGTCACTACTGTATTAATTAGCAATTTATTTTGCTGACACTTTTATCCAAAGCAACATACATTTTGCCCCATTTATACAGCTGCAGATTTTACTGCAACAATATGAGTAAAGTACCTTGCTCAAGAGTGCAACTGCAATGTGATGTTCCACATTCGCTCTCGTTCACTAATGGACCAAATCTCAAAACATGACCAGTGCCATGAAGTCCTGGCTGGCTTGCATCTTGTACTTCCTTGAAGGTTTTATATGCTCCTCAGTATTACTTACCCAGAATAGTTAACAGTAAAATGCAGGCTTGAGGAAACATGCATGTTCTATACAATGCTACCACCTTGTGGCTAATGTTGGCTTAACCTGATCAATTGTAAGTGTCAAGAAAGGTCACAGATGACACTAGAACATCAAGACACGCAGTGTTTGAGAGAGAGAAAGTCTTTATTATCCCCGGGGTGGGGGGGAAAGTTGTTTTACAGCAGCAGTGTTGGTGTACAGACGGACAGAAGATAAAAAACAGACATGAACAACAATATACATACTTACATAGAAGTCAAGTGTTAAGTAACGATATGGCTAGAGGTTTGAATGAGAACTTGAATCTGTTGGTTTTAATAATAATAATAGCTTACACTATATAGTGCTTTTCTGGACCTGGACACTCCACTCAAAACGCTTTACAGGTAATGGGGACTCCCCTCCACCACCACCAATATGAAGTCCCACCTGGATGATGCGACGGCAGCCATAGTGCACCAGTACGCTCTCCACACATCAGCTCTCAGCTCTCAGTGGGGAGGAGAGCAGAGTAATGAAGCCAATTCATAGATGGAGATTATTAGGAGGCCATGATTGGCAAGGGCCATTGGGAAATTTGGCCAGGACACCAGGGTTACACCCCTACTCTTTTCGAGAGATGCCCTGGGATTTTTAATAACCACAGAGAGTCAGGACCTCGGTTTTACGTCTCATCCGAAGGACGGCGCCTTTTTACAGTATACAGTGCCTTGCGAAAGTATTCGGCCCCCTTGAACTTTTCAACCTTTTGCCACATTTCAGGCTTCAAACATAAAAATATAAATTTTTTAT